TCTGGTGAATCCTCTCACCCCCCACACCTCTGGCCTGTACCCCGTTCTTGTACGCATAACCTTAAAAAAAAATGAAGTCGAAGATCTTATTTTGAGGATCTTAGTCATCTCCTGTGTGTCTCTTCATCAGACTGTGGGTCCATTCATCCATTCATCTTCTTTAATACCCATTGTGTTCAAATCTAATGGGTAAGCAGCTTCCTGAGTTCTGTGAGTCACTCTTGCAAAATAATTGAACCTGAGAAGGGGGTTGTGGTTCTCTGATTTACAGCTGGTTGGTCAGAAGTACAGGTAACAGCTGGGCTTACAACTGGTCCCTGAAGTGGAGTCTTGGGAGACTGAGGCCTTCACCTTGATTCTAGGGTGTGTGTTAATAAGCAACAGGGTTCTGTCCCGCGGTTTGCACAATAAGTTTCTGGAGGGCCAGAGTCAGGTCTAACGTCATTGTCTTTCCCTGATCACGTGGTAAAATCTTGGAGAAGGTGGGCGGGTGGGCAATGAATGAAACGGGAAGCATTTTCAACCCATAACTAGAAAGCTGTGGAAATAGTTTTTTGGTTTTGTTTTCTGAATCTATTCCCCCCACCCCCGATGAACATCAGTGTCCCTCTTGAGGTTTGAGCTACACTCTAAAGTCTGTTCCACTGTTGACAGTAACTGACCAGTCGCAATCACCAAATGGCTGGGTGTAGGGTAAAGAAAATATCAGGCTTTTCTGCCCTCCCGCCATCAGGATAGATGATGGATCCTTGTCCCGAATGCATGCCTGATGGCGGGCACCTGGAGTAGGGTGTGGGCATAGGTAGATGGGATTCAGCTGAGCTGAGACTGTGCTTTTAAGGGCAGCGTCACGGGGACGCCAGCAGCAGCAGTAGAAGCCGAAGCCAAGAGAAGCCGAAACCGAAAGAGAAGCCGAGAAGCAGCAGAATGAACTCCAGAGAGCTCAGATAGAGTGAAGATTTGCTGGGCCTGGGAGGCCTGCCAGCCTCCCAGCCCCCCAGCCAGCACCCCTGCCTGCCATATGCCTGGTGAACCCCAAATAAAAAACCTGCAAAACCACTGAGGACTCTGACTCCTCCTTGACCCGGTCTGCATGGGATCAGAAAACCTGCACCGTGTCCATTCCTGCCCTTACACTGGGCCAGGCTGTTTCATTTTTATCTAGACGTCTCAACACGGGACCCGAGAAACAGGAGTCTGATTCCAAAGCAGATTCCACAACAAGCAGCCCCCCGAAAGGCAAATCCTCCCTTCCTCCACCTTTCACTCTGCTCAGGCCTCAATGGATTGGGTGATGCCCGCCCACACTGGGGAGCAAATCCGCTCTCCTGAGCCCATCCATTCAGGAGCTGATCTCACCTGCAAACACTCTCCTGCACAATCCAGAGATAATGTTTGGCCAGATATCTGGGCACCCCAAGACCCCATCAAGTTGACACAAAATTGACACCCAAAAAGGGATATATTGGTGCTCCTTTCTCTGGACATTTCAGCATTAGTCTTGCAAAATATGCTGCAGAGGGGTGAACAAAAAGATTCTACACTCGGCACCAAAACTTTGCAGGTCTTAATTCTCATTGGCTAATCTTTGGGGTTGCCAAGATGAGCTAGGGAGACCTGGAAGGACTGCAAATACTTATGCTTTATTCCCCTACCCCCTCTTGCTACTATCTTTCCTTTGATTATTTGTTGCTTTTCCTGAAAGCAAACTGTAGCAGAGTCTAGGACTTTCTTAGTGGGAGGCTCACTGAGGTTTGACCCTTCCATGTGGCTACAATGATCCAATTAGATGAGGTAATGAATGTAAAGTACCTGTCCCAGGGCACTACCCGTGGCAGGGGCCCCATAAATAATCTTATGTTTATCCAGTAGCACCTAAGAGAGAATTTTTCTTTTGAATTGGAGGGATGCTTATTTAAGAGTGCTCTGCATTTTTTTGGAGGAGGCTATATTCTTAATTTACTGCTAATTAAGTTAATATTCTCAATTTACTGTTTTCACTACTTAATACTAAATCAGGGTACTTAAACATTTCGTAATATTAGGTGTGAAAGCCATACTATGTGGATCAGGGTGATGAAGTGTGGACTATTTTTCACTGAACATTGACTTCTGCCCCAAAGATTCCGATGTGGAAAGCACAAAGTGAAGAACAAAAATAAAGATTTGAAGTGGAGTGCTGGGCTTGTCATTCTCCACTGTGTTCTTAGGCACACCAAAAAAAATAATCCTTTTTACTGAATAAGTGTGTGATGGAACATTCCAGGAGGAACTCACTTGGCCATCCATAGCTCCTTGTAGGGTAAATAAAAAGTATCAGGCTTTTCTGCCCTCCCGCCATTAGGATTGATGATGGATCCTTGCAGTCCTGAATGCGTGCCTGATGGCGGGCACCTGGAGTGGGGTGTGGGCATAGGTAGATGGCATTCACCTGGGCTCATAAGGGCGGCATCACGGGGACGTCAGAAGCAGAGAGAGTGCGAGAGAACACCGGAGAGCCCAGGAAAAGTGAAGATTTGTTGGGGGCTGGGAGGCCTACCAGCCTCCCGTTCCCCCAGCACCCCTGCCTGCCGTGTACCTGGTAAATCCCAGTAAAAGCCTGCAAAGCCACTGTAGGCTCCAGGACTCTCTGCTTCACCCGTCTGCTCGGGTCATAGAAAACCTGCACTGTCCATTCCTGCCATTACACTCTTCAACCTTTCATCTTAGAAATTTTTTGTTCTGGTTTGAAAGTCTTGCAAATGACTCCGATTTGACCCATCTTGGGTGCACCCCCAAACCAGCCAACTGTGGGGAGAAAAGCCACCAAAAAGCACCTGGCTCCTGTCAGTCAGCAGTGGAGGCGGCAATGCCACGCAGACAGCACCACCCCTGCACCGGACAAGATGGAAACTGATTCACTTCGTGTCCACGGGGGGACTTTGTGTCCATGGGGGGTCCGTAAGGCTAAGAAAGGGGGGTGACTTGAGTACAGAGAAAACAGAAGAAGAAATAAACACATGGGCATGCACAAATCACCTCCCCCCCTCAGTGTATCTATTACACTCCTTGCACACTTGTGAAACATTATTTGTGTACACAGCGTAACTTTTCAAGACAGTTATTTTTTTAAAAAAATATTTTGAACAGTTTTAAATTTATAGAAAAATTGCAAAGACAGTACAGAGTTCCCACCCATTCCCTCACCCAGTTTCAAGTTTTTTATTTATCTAAAGTCCTTTGGTTCCGGGAGCCCATCCAGGGAGCCGCAGTCCATGTAGCACTTGTCTCTGCAGGCTCCCCTTGGCTGTGAGCTTCTTTTTTAGCCTTCCTGGGTTTTGATGACCTTGACAATCTGCAAGGGCACTCATCAGCTGTTTTGTAGGATGTCTCTATTGACAGGCATCTGCCCATTTCTCTTGTGATTAGAATGGGCTGGTGGGTTTGTGGGGGTGTAAGGTCAGGACCAGGACACGGTGCAGGTTTTCTGATCCCATGCAGACCGGGTAAAGGAGGAGCCAGAGTCCTCAGTAGTTTTGCAGGTTTTTTATTTGGGGTTCTCCAGGCATATGGCAGGCAGGGGTGCTGGCTGGGGGGCTGGCAGGCTGGCAGGCCTCCCAGCCCCCAGCAAGTCTTTACTCTATCTGGGCTCTCTGGTGTTCTCTGCTTCTGCTTCGGCTTCTCCTTCAGGTTCTGCTGCTGCTGCTGCTGCTGCTGCTGCTGGCGTCCCCCCATGACGCCGCCCTTAAAAGCACAGTCTCAGCTTAGCTGAATCCCATCTACCTATGCCCACACCCTATTCCAGGTGCCCGCCATCAGGCATGCATTCAGGACAAGGATCCATCATCTATCCTGATGGCGGAAGGGCAGAAAAGCCTGATATTTTCTTTACCCTACAGGGGGGTAACCATAAGATTGTTATCACATCAACGATACCTCTGTCATCATAACAGCACCACTGCGGCTGAAGGCCCGGCCGGGGTAGTGCAAGCCATGTTCAGTACATGCAAACCCAATCACAGTAATCTGTGACCTAGTAAAGCACATCAAGCAAATTTGACTTACAGGTGTTACAAGTCTCATCAAGTATGAGGGGGACTTTTCACTGACCTACTATTCCTAAGTACACAGCGATATTGAGATAGTCTGGGTAGCAGTTAATATTTGTAAGGTTGACAATGATCTTTGTTAGTCCTTCTGGCAATCCTATTAGTAAGTCCACTGAATCTTACCTACTTGAAGTAAAAATCACTTGTAAAAAACGTGTGCAGCGGTTGATATTTGATGTGTTATCTGATGCAAGAGGCGATGCTTACATTTTAAAGTTGTGTGGAATTTATCTTTTCCTGAGTTTACTCAAGAGTAATAGGAATTTCTTTTATAAAGATTTATTTTATTTATTTTATACAAGAATTGGGGTACAGGCCAGATGTGGGGAACAGAACAGGCAGGCTGATGAAATACACTGCTGAGGGGAGCAGCGGGTGGCAGGAGAGGTCTGCTGCGCCATGTGGGACCCTCGCCAGCAGCCGGGATCGAACTGGCGCTGCAGAGGCTGAGGACAGCTTAGCAGTGCAGCACTCAACCACCTGCACCACCAGGGGAGGCCCAGTAATAAGAATTTTAATCACACCAAGTGGTACACCTTAACTCCCTACAACTTATATTGTCAATTATACTCAATAAAGTTGAGGGGAAAAAGTCATGGTCATTTGAGGTTTTAGTTCTTTGAAATGAATTAAATCTTGATAATTGATGCTTTCCATTCATAATTTTTATAACAACACATCATAAAGAGTTTAACTATCGGGCCTTCCCTGGTGGAGCAGCAGTTGCGCGCTGGGCTGCGAAGCTGTCCCCAGCCTCTGCAGCGCCGGTTCCATTCCGGCCACCAGCAAGGGTCCCACATGGCGCGCAGACCTCTCCTGCCGCCCGCTGCTCCCCTCAGCAGTGTACTTCAGTCCTTCTGCCTGCTCTGCTCCCCGCTCTGGCTCTGGTGAATTCTCTCACCCTCCCGCGCTTCTGACTGTACCCAGTGCTTGCATAAATAAATAAATGAATCTTTAAAAAAAAAAAAGAGTTTAACTATCAATCCCCCTCTATAATGGCAAATCATAAGAAAACAAGTTGGTATTTTTTTTTTTTAATTTACTTTCCAGGTCAGGGATGTAACAGGTTAGATATGGGGCAGTGCAAACTGACAGGGCTGCCCCCCTATCTGTGATGAACGACAACAGGTGGTTCCCAAGCAGACATCCAAGTGACGAACAACTCACAGAGGCAGGTAAAATTGTTAGCGTAGTTAAAATTTTTCCCACATTAAAGGTTAAAATCGAAATGATTTTCCAGTTCTCAGAAAAAGATTCAATTAACATTCAATGCCTATTTTTTAAGAGCAGTATGACAAGTTGAGGTTTTGGTGCAAATGTCAATAGGGAGCGTGTGAAGGATGTGTTACAGTCAGGAGGGAGACTCCCTAACATAGAGTTGCAGTCAAGCAAGTGGAAATTTGGTGCCCTCTCCTTACCCTCCCTTCCCAGCACATGTACCGTCAACAAATATACCCGTTTAACTCTGTACATTTGGCCCTTTTTATTATGACATCTCTTTGTATCCTAAGGAACTGATGTTCTAAGGGACATTCTTTGAGAAATGCTGCTATGTGGCAAATAAATACTAGTTCTAAGGGTGGTGAGTTCTGCAACAATTACAATCTGTTCTAGGATCTCCAAAGAAATAAGTGACACATTACTTCTTGAATGATCTTTTTCTAGAATGAGTACTAAGTGCAGAAATTGCAGCTACCTTTTTTAACCCTAACGCTGCTAATATGGAGATGGGGGTGCTGCAGATGTGACCACAGACGGCCAGCACCCAGCCTGACCAGGCCATGTGCAGGCATTTTGAAGAGAATAAAGAGACTATCAGGGAAAAAGAACAACTCTGAGAAGATGAGACATTACCAAAGTTATCTAACTTTGGTCTTTTAAAAGAATCTTCTCCAAATGACTGAGATGGTTTATCCCATTCTCTTCAGCCCCCCTGCCCTGACCACAGGGCAACTGGTGGACATAGGGGGGCTCACCTGGTTTTCCCCTGGATAGCTGACCCCCAGCTTCCCTGGGCAGAGGTATGTAACCAAGAGGTAATGGGTAAAAGAGTCCCTAGTCTACTACTCATGTAAAGGAAGGCCGGGGTAAGGGACAAACATGTTCTGCCATCTAAGCTGGCTACAGTGTAGAATATTTTCATAAGAAAATATGATGTGATGAGTAGCTCAGTTCTAGTATTAAATAATTGGGAGGGGGTTATTGTGAAAACATACTACCATTTATAGCATGTTTTCCAAATACTGTACCTTAAATATGATGCTACAAAGCACAAAACCATTGGTAAATTATGGACAGAGAACAGCTCCCTAAATCCTCAGTTTCCGCCAAGATTTATTCATGGTCCATGTAACATGGCATGGGTTTTTGTTGTCCAATATTTTCTCAATTTGATATGCCTACTTCCTAGTTTAAATAACGTTAATCAGCAAATGTCCTAAGTCTTGATTTAGGAATCTGCTCCAGTTAGAATGACAAAGTAAATGCCTCAAACAGAAGTTAAATAAGATTTAACTTAAATATTATTTATTTTCTGTTATTCAAGATTCCAAGATATGTGGTAGGCCATGCAGTAAAAGGCCCGTCTAGCAAATTCCATTCTGAGGCAAATCTGAGGGGTCCGGTCACAGCAGTTAGGCAGGCTTGCAGCTGCAGCTCCTGTTCCTGCTCTGTGAACTCACACCAATTCCAAACAACATTAAGAAACAGACATGTTGGGCCTCCCTGGTGGCACAAAGGGTTAAGACGCAACCTATGAAGCTATCCGAAACCTCTGCAGCATGAGTTTGATCCCAGGCCAGAGAGCAACCCACATGGCACAGCAGGCTTCTCCTGACTTGCCTGCTGCTCCCCTCAGCAGTGTACGTCAGTAAATCTGCCTATTCTATTCCCCACTATCTCTGGTGAATCCTCTCAGCCCCCCACACCTCTGGCCTGTACCCCAGCTCTTTTATGCATAAATAAATAAATCTTAAAAAAAAAAAAAAAAGAAACAGACATGCTCTGAAGAACAAAATAAAGGTAAAAACGCCCTGAGCACCTTTTACAGTAAAATAATAAAATATTCATTCATTTCTCTGTGTGGAAATCTGGGAAAGGCAAGACTAGACCTATAAAGTGTTAAATGTGTTTATAAAGTCAGTTCTGATTTTTGATAAAGCAGATTTAAAACCCTTTGAAACAATGTAAAAAAGTTCATGGGTTCTCTACCTGTGAAATTGAAAAATCTAGTAATTGATACAGGGCTTCCTCATCGTTAATGTGAAGTAGTAATACTATAGCTTAATTCAAAAGCAATTATTTTCTAAAGTTGGGACTCAGACCAATGATGTTTAGCTAAAATATCCCGCACACAATAGGCAAAAGGTCAGTCTGCAGTGATGTGTAAAAACAGCTTTATGAGAATCCAAAAAAATTACTCTCAAAATATTTTTTCCATTGGAGTCAGTTTACAAATGGAAAGATAACTTTCATGAGAGGATTTCAGGCCCTTTGGCTATGACCTCACAACCAGAAATAAAGAATTTTAACACTATTTCTTATGATACTATCAGAAGGTTGGTCACTGATTTGAAGAATTCTGATAAGCAATGGGGGGAGGGGTGACAGTGAATCTCCACTTAAAAATGAACCTTTGAAAATTTTCCCCATGGACAAGACACAAATACCAAGCAATTCCTGCTTTTTCTAGCTCTAGAAATTCCATGAGAAGCCAGGAATTAAAAAGAAAGTGACGGTGAAACCTGGATCTAGCCGACTGGCCACGAGAACCCTGGAAACAGCACTAAGAAGTCTAAGACACTGAAGAAAAATGATAAACACCTGCAAACATTTTTTTTTCTACTGACACTTTAGAAAATTCCAAAGAACACATCCTGATTGTCTTTCTAGAGTCATCATTTAGCAGTTACAATTACTTGCAAAACCAGTGCTGAGAGCTAATAAATATTTATGGTGCCATCGGGTGATTCCCTTTAAGTTCAGCCACAGTGCTAACTTGGGCTGTGATCACTACTGCCCTCCCCCTGCGTCCCCCCAGAACACCCTCCTCTTTGTGTACCAGAAGCCGTGTAGTTGGGTTCCAGGATTCTGAAGCATCCGTGAGAAGAGCTGCCAGCTACCGGCAACAATGAAAATGGAGAATGCTTTACTACGCTTTCCACAGACGTAACCCCTCTTCCATGCATGGCCATTATTTCCTAAAGAAAATGCCGGCTCCTTTATTCCAGACAAACAGTTCCTGAACTGCCGAATTGTTCATACAATCTCTGTTATAGGAGTAGCACGCGCGATGCACCAGTACCTTCTTCTTACTGAATCCTTGTTCAGTTTAAAAGGAGAACGAGATGCTGACTGCTGGCTTTAGCAACATCATATGAGATGGCTTTTGGGTCTGCCATGCAGTCGGAGTTTTTTTGTTGTGAGCAGCTGTGCCAGGCCATTGAGCAACACCAGCACGATGGTCAGGGACATGACGATCACGTAGTGGCTAATGCTACAGAAAGAGAAAGAAGCATGTCATATATATAAGATACACAGAACTGCAAACTGATGACTTTAAAACTGACATTAAAATATTAAAACAAATTTGTTAGAGAAGTAGAGATGAACATAAGTAACATTTTGTTTATTTCCAATAACTGTAATATGTTGTGAAAATGGTTGGTTGGTATTTAGCAGTACCCACACCTTTGTTAACAGCAGAAACTGAATTTCTAAAAGCTTTTAGAAAAATCAAGATCTCTTCCCTCCTCTAATTCTTGGGCCCTCTGAAAAACACCCACAGACTCTGCAGGCTGTTGCCAGTGAACTGAACTGCCATAGAGAACACGCCCACCGGCTTGGTGAGTTGAACTTTGGTAAAACTATTGTACCAGCCACCAGGGAGAGAAATTTTAGCTAAACTCAAATTCAGTGAAGGCATCAAGTGATTTCTAAACAAGGAAAAAAGGATATATCACTTCATTAGTCTCACAGTTAAACTACTGTCTCCCAGACTTTTTGAAAAAAATAAGATAATAAAAACTATTAAAGTTACTTAGTCCTTGCTCTCATTATCAGCAATAGTAAATGCTCGGCTTTTCTTTTTAAACACAGCAATTGTACTCCACAGAACATGGCTTGATGATAAATTTAGCAATATGGGAAGAAATTTAGGACAAAGATCTGACAAATTGATTTAGCAGAAGCTTCACGCAGTGATACTAGTACAGTATCATCCCTGCCAAGCTACAGCGGGAAGTTATCTGTTTACAAGGCCTATCAAGTTAGACTTAACTGACTTCACAGTAGATTCACATGTTTTACATCCGTCACAAAGAGGGATGGAGCGTGGGGGAGGGGAGAATGTTTGCAGGCCCATAACCAGCTGGCTTGATAGAGGGAAGTGATCCCCGCCTCTTCTCTCTTCCTGGCAAGCAGGAAGGGTTCCAGGTAGTTCAAGAAGCCCCTACAAAGGAAAGTTCCACAGGACAAGCTCAGGGAACTTGCCTTGGGGCATCTGGGCAGGTGACTGCCTGGAACACGTGAACTAGACCCATCACCTAGAGGGACCTGGAGATTAGGAGAGAGGGCAAAGGTCTCACAGGGGATTGAGGTCACCTTCTCAATAACTTCAGTCCATTAGGCAGGCAACTGCCTAATGTCAGATTGTTGGCCCTTGGCCAAACTAGGCAAAGCTTTGGCAAGCAGTCAGGTTTTCACCAGTAGGCAATTTCCTCAAGGTCAGAAGGGAAGGCCTTCTAGTCTATGCAGATTGTATTTATTCATTTATTTATTTTGCTCTAGCAGACAAGACAGCAAAGCAGACAAGAGAGCAAAGAAATCTGTGAAAGAGCTAGGCAAGATCTATTACCTGCCCATGAAGCCAGTCTTTTCAACCCCCACTACTGACCAAGGAGCCTGATAAAGATTTTGTCCTTATTGTTTATTTATTTATTTTTATTTTATATATTTTTTACATCGTTCTTTTTTTTTTTTTTTTTTTACAATGTATGCTTTCTCATCTCGGTTACAGGCCCCATGAGATTCCTACCACCCATTCACCCGTGTACCATCACCATAGTCCCTTGTGCTCCTCCCATCCCATTTTTGATCCTACTCCCTTCTCCCCACCTGCAGGATGTCTCTGGTTTATAGCTGCTTGTTGAATTTGATTTTCACTTTATGATAAAGATTTAAATGATAGGTACCCAGACGTTGCATTCCAGACTTTGCAGAGTGTAGGGTAAGGAAAAATGTCAGGCTTTTCTGTCCTCCCGCCATCAGGACAGATGATGGATCCTTGGGGTCCTGAATTCATGCCTGATGGCGGGCACCTGGAGTAGGGTGTGGGCACATGTAGATGGGATTCACCTGGGCTAAGATTGTGCTTTTTAAGGGCGGCGTCACGGGGATGCCAGGAGAAGCTGAAAGAGAAGCCAAGAGAGAAGCAAAGAAGCAGAAGCAGAAGCAGAGATCACAGGAGAGTCCAGATAGAGTGAGGATTTGCTGGGGGCTGGGAGGCCTGCCTGCTGTGTAGCGGGTAAATCCCAATAAAAGACCTGCAAAAACCACTGAGGACTCTGACTCCTCCTTTACCTGGTCTGCTGGATCATAGAAAACCTGCTCAGTGACCATTCCTGCCTTTATACATAGCCGCTGTGAGAAGGAAGAGATTAAATCCCTGCACACAAATAGCATCAACACATCTTTGGGTGAAAACAACTTAGAACCAGAAGCCCCTCCCTGTCAAGGCTGTTTATATTTTTAATGTCAATGACTCACTGCCTTCCTACCTGTACAAACTAAATTCAAACTGGTGTGTGCGGGAATAGTTCTCACAGAGTAAGGCCCATCAAATTGCTTCCCAGGTTCGAATCCTCCTTTTGATTATTTAACTCTTTGTCTTAACTATCATTGAGACTTATTCCAGTTAGTAAGCTTTTAAGTAAGAACTTTAATTGTAAAGTTTCACAGCTTGATAAGATTGTCTTTGGAAAGGCAGTGGTTGGGATATCCTTATTTAGAATCTAAGTCATCTTATAAAGCAACTTTGATACTAAAAAAGAAGAAGTTGACTAATTTAAAAACAAGAATTAGAATAATTATTTTAGAGATCTGGTTCTGGTCTAGAGTAGACTTCTGAACTAAATAGAAAACAATAAAATTAGATCCTTAATTGTGTTAAAAATGGAAAGAACAAGCCAGAAACAGTCCTTCATGGGGGTAGGGGGCACCCAAAGTTCATAGCTAATCTCACTGCAGTTTTAACTTCTTCCCAAAGTGTAATCCTAAGCCAATCAATCTGGAGGTTCCTGGTCAGCACCTGTGAAGTCATCTGCCTGGCGAGAAACCCCATGCCTGCACCCCCAGGGAAGATGGTTTTACTCAAAATAATCTTTTATTAATAACCTTTATCCACCCCCTTTCTGTCTATAACTGTCCTCCATTTTGTGTGAGTCCTTGCAGTGTCTACACCATATGCTGCCTGAGTCATGAACACTTTAATAAAGTCAATGAAACCTTTAAATTTCTGAACTTATTTTTTAACAATTGTAAACAAATATTATCACTAAAGATTTTTTAATTTTCATTTCTTTTCACTGCAGAAATAACGTGACAAAATATTGGGCCTGGGATTCTTTTATACTTAAATTTATGTGTGCATCTGGCTATATTTTTAACCCAGAGTGAAAATGACATAGATCTTACCTACCATTTAATTATGTAGAATTTACAAAGCCATTTTCCAACTTTAGTAGCTGCAGAGGAAATAAATCACTGATAATTATTTATTTTAAAATGAAAATAATGATTATAAGACTAGATTTATTTATCAATCTATCAATCCTTGTTGGGAATAAAATTACCTCAATATTGATTTTAACTGAATTCTCTTGAAAAGCTCATGCTCAAATCGACAAGATTATGTTACTAAAATTATGTGAGCCATGCTGACACTTTCTCACACAGAATTTGGTAATTGGTTGATGAATCTTACTTCAAATGTCTTCCAAAGTAGAGCAACTCAAGTTTATCACATCACAGAAGTGGTGGGAAAACATACTGTTAGAAAACTGGAAACTTAAGTCCAAAATAACTTCCCTTTCTAGGAGGTTGGGTGGATATACGTTTCCTTTTTCTTCCTGCCAAGTGAAATTTAAAACTCTGGACCTTATATAAACACAATAAACATAAAACTGAACAGTGGAAAGAAGATGGCAGACTGGCTAGGGAACTTGGGACCCAAGGAACAACACACAGGATGAGTTTTCTGGACTTTCATTTTGCCTTATATGTACCAAACTTGTAGGAAGAAGCCAGCAACCAGGAAATGCCAGTGGTAATAGACCAAATTAAAAAAAAAATCCAACACAATAACAAAAGATTGCTCTCTCTAGCCAAAGGACAGACAGGAAAGGGACAGCCCCAAAAGAAAGAAAACTTTTAGATACCAGCTGTTTTACTTCAGCCAAACACCTTAGAAAAAATGGGATTCGGTGAGGCAGACCTCTTCTGTCTAGCCCGCTGCTCTCCTCAGCAGTGTATTTCGTCAGTCTGCCTGTTCTGTTCCTCGCTCTGTCTCTGGTGGGAGGGCCTCCCACCTTCCTAGCCAGGGGAGGTGTCAGTGGAGGCACACAGCAGTGGTTAATTCCTGCAGCCCTACAATAAATGAAGAGCCCCCTTTGGGTATCAATGGAGACTGAATGGGAACCTGGATTCTAGTCCTGTCAGAAATGAGGGGGCAGCCTCTCTTTCTCTGCTAAAGTAGTATCAGAAGGAGCCAGCTGGAAAAAAAAGGTTTAAATGAGATTCAGAGTCTCAGAATGACCCCAAAATTGATTTTTTAATTGAAAAATCTTGCCATACCAAGAACTGGGAAAATCTCAAATAGAATGAAAATAATAATAATAATAATGTGAACACAGATGACAGAGCTGTTAGAATTACCTGGGCAAAACGTTTAAGTAGCCATGATAAAAACACTTCAGCGAAGCTGCCCGCAGCCTCTGTGGCGCCGGTTCGATCCCCGGCTGCTCCCCGGCCACTGGAGGAGGGTCCCACATGGCGCGCAGACCTCTCCTGCCGCCCGCTGCTCCCCTCAGCAGTGTACTTCGGTCCTTCTGCCTGCTCTGCTCCCCGCTCTGGCTCTGGTGAATTCTCTCACCCTCCCGCGCTTCTGACTGTACCCAGTGCATGTATAAACAAAACAAACAAACAAATAAATAAATAAATGAAGCATGCCTCTATAAAAAAAAAAAAAAAAAAAAAAAAAAAACACTTCAGCGAGCAATTATGAACATACTTGAAATAAGTGAAAAAACAGGAAGTTTGACAAAAGAAATAGAAATCCTCAGCAACGAAATAGAAGACATAAAGAAGAAACAAATGGAAAGTTTAGAATGGGGGATGGGGGAGCGAAAAACACAACTGCTGGCACAACAAAACCCTGAGAGGAGCCTCAACCCAACAAAACTGCAGAACATGACTGAAAAGGAGTTCAAGTAACAGTTCGAACACTTATAGAACTCGCAAAAACAACAGAGCATATGAAAAAGCAACAGAATAAAGATAAAGAAAATATGAGGCAGTTACAATTAGAAATAATGGAGCTAAGAAACACCACAACTGAATTAAGAAATTCAATTGAGAACCTCAACAGCAGACAGAGAGAGAATTAATGAGCTTGAAAACACATGTTGGAGAACAATGGAAGAACAGAGAACAAAAAGTTTAAAAATGTAGTGTAGATCCCATTGGGATAACTTAAAGTGAAATAACATCTATACCATGTGGGCCCCAGAAGGAGAAGAGAAAGAAACAGCATAGAAATATTACTTAAAGAAATTGCTGAAAATCATCTCACTCTGGGAAATGAACCAAATGTTCTGATTCAGGAGGCCTAAAGAGTTCCAAACAAAATAATACCAAACAGACACACTCCCAGACAAAGCATAATAAAACTGCTGAAAGCCAACAAGGACAGAATATTAAAAACATCAATAGAAAACAGGGGACACCAATCAGACTGTCAGTAGACTCAGTTTTTCAGTAGATATCAACCATATTTTTAGTGACTCAAACCTATGGCAAGGGAATTAAAAATAAACAATTGGGGGATTACCTCAAATTAAAAAAATTCTATACAGCAAAAGACATTACAAGATGATTAAAGACACACCCCACAGACTGGGAGAAAATATTCACAAAATATATAACCGATAAGTGATTAATATTCAATACATAAAAAACTTATGCAATTCAACAATAAAAAGAACAACCTAATTAATAAGTGGGCAGCTGATAATTCACCAGATATATCCAATTCACAGACGCTATCCAGAAGGCCAACAGATAGATGGAAACATGTCCATTATCACTTCTGACAAGAGAGATGCAGGTTAAAACCTGCATGAGATACCATGTCACACCTATGAAAATGGCACATAAATAAAAAACCTGCAAGTGTTGGAGATGATGCAGTGTAGAAGGAACCCTATTACACTATTGGTGGGAATGTAAACTGGTATAACCATTAGATAAAGGAACGTGGATATACCTGAAAAACTAAAAACAGCAATACCACATGACCCACTAATCCCACTCTTGGTTATATAGTCAAAGAATATGAAAACATTAACACAAAACCCTTATGTTCCACAACATTCATAGCAACATTATTTACAATAGCTGGGACATGGGAGCAACCTAAATGTCCAACAGATGATTGGATCAAGTAGATGTGGTATAACCACATTATGGAGTACTATATAAGTGTAAAAAGGATGACATGCAATAATTTTCAACAAAAATGGAGAGAGTTTGAGAGGATTATGTGTATAAAAGCAAATCAAAATGATAAAAATATTGATAATGCCAGGCATTTGCATAGCAGACAATTTGATAACATGAAATACTTAAAAAAACAGTGGACATCAGTTAACACCGTTACAGTTCTGAGGTTAAGAGGGAGGTAGAGAGGAAAGGGACAAGTGACTATAAAGGATAAAAGATAAAATGAAGGATAAAAGCAAAAATAAATTTTTCAATTATACATAGATCAAAGATTTAGAAACAATTGTATATGGAGGAGGGTAATGGGATATAAAAGGTTAAGGTTACTATATATACGAAAACTGACAAAACAAAACCACTGATATACCGTGATTAGTTATGTATGTATGATACTTAGAGCAACCACTAAAAAAGTCATAAGGAGATATACTAAAAAACAGTACAGATATGTAAAAATGGAATTCTATAAATTGTTCAGGTAACTGAGGAATGAGAGAAACACCAAACAGAAAGGATAGAAAACAAAAAAGCTAAATGGCAGATTTAAGCACTAACACATCATTAATTACATTAAATGTAAATAGTCTAAATGTGTCAACTAAAAAGCAGAGATTGGCAGAGTGAATTAAAAACATGACTAAACCATGTATTATTTACACGAGTTCTCACTTTATGATATACAAAAATTAAAAATAAAAAGATGAAAAATAAATATTATGCAAACATTATGAAACAGGAATTATATTACTACTGGATAAAATAAACTTCAGAGCAAAGAAAATGACCAGAGTCAGACATATTGTAATGATAAAAAGGTTCAATCTATCAAGAAGATAGCAGTTCTATACGTAATGCCTCAAACAGAGCTGTACAATGTATGAAGCAAAAATTGAGAGAACTGAAAAGAGAAATAAGCAAATCCCTAGTTACAGTTTGAGATGTCAACATCCTTCTCTCAATAACTGAAGAATAACTAGACTAAAAATCAGCAGACACACATGAACTCAACACCACTATTAATCAACAGGATATAATTGCTAATTATAGTATATTTGATGCAAGAACAGAATACACACTCAGTCAAGTGCCCGTGCAATGTATACCAAGAAGACAGATTAATGGGTGCCTGGAGCTGAGTATGGGAATGGGGTTAGATCATAACGTGTACAGCAGAGTCTTCTGGTTGACAGGAATGTTCAAAAACTCACAAGTGGTGATGGTTGCACAATTCAATAAACTTACTGAAAATCATTGAAATGTTTTAAAAGATTATTTAAATCATTTAAAACCTTTAAAATGAATGAATTTTATGATATGTAAATTATACTTCAATAAAGATGTTAAGAAAAAAGATATTCTAGCAGATTTTTGTTTTGTTCAATTTTTCTATCACTTTCAGGCCTTTTAACAATAACTTTTACTATTTTAAAATATATGATTTAATTTCTTAACAAAGTAAGTTTTTTCAGTAGGTAACCCATCCTCAAACTTAGTGAGTCTATTTATAAAAGAGACAGATCACTTATCTCCTTAGAATGGCCTGAAATTACTGACTCCTGGCTCATTTAAGCTAACATTATTGGCAGGGAACAGTTATGAGACTCATCATCTTCATGCAATTGAGCTATAAGGCATTCAGCTTGTGATATTTTCCATCCATCAAGTCTTGGTGTCATCTCAGCATAGCAGAGTTACAGGAGCATCAAATTTCAACTGGAAATAAGTTCAGCTGCTCCTACTTTCCTCCCACAACTATTTGACATCGTTTAAATCAGCAATTCTCAAGGTATATATATATGTGTGTGTGTCAAGGCAGAGGGAGAGTGTGTGTGTGGAGGGAATACAGAATCACTAAACAGGTCTTTTCAACCTGTACAGTGGGTGATGATGGGTCCATTGTACTTTTCAATCAGAGTAAGGGGCAACAGAAGGTCCTGTAAGGTGCATTGGGGAGGGAAAAGGTTAA